AAACTCAAGAAGAAAGAGTTTGAGAGGGAGAGAGATATAGTTCCTTTAGGAATGTTTCCTAACAGGGGAGTGACAAAATAGTGAGTAGAATACTAGTCGGGTATTTTTCGGGAAACACTTTTGTGTGCGCCACTATTTTGGGTAGAGCTCAGGAATTGTTGTACCTCCAAATTATTGGGGAAGTCTCTCTTTGTATGCCTGCTAAATGTTTTAGTGGAAGTTGGTGTCGGATTTGTTGACGTAGCCTAAACGTTTTAGGTGAACCACGTTAAATATTGTGTCATTTATTTTTGGTTTCGTTGATCATTTATTTTATTCCGCTGTGCAGTAGTGTTTAGTGCTACCGGGTCCTAACAAGTCCTAACATATATAAGCCGTGGAAACAGCCTCTTGCAGAAATGTAGGGTAAAGCTGCCTACAATAGACTCTTATGGTCCGGCCCTTCCTCGCACCCCGTACGTAGCGGGATCTTCGTGCACCGGGCTGCCAAAGCAAGAATCTTACCTCCTCCTTGCCAACTTCCACATTTTAACTGATTCATGTGGCTGTAGCCAAGATCAGAAAGCAGTTTCACGAGAGAACTTGGAGAACCAGGCAACACTCTTAAATCATCACTGAATATAAACTCTATTCCTCCCCTAAGAAAAACAACATAACAATCATTTGTAGGATTTCTTATATCTGAAAATATTTCCTTAGTTGTCCTCCCTCCACAATTACAATTAACATTGACTAACCAGCTCTTTAATGAGCAGTCTTCCATAGAACATTTGAAGTACTTGTTGGAAACAGAATCATCTATGTTCACTTTCAACTTGAAGCAGTTAGGCATGGCAATGGGGCTTCAAGCAATCTTCATTGCATGGATTTCTTGGATTTAAAAGGACTGACTTACAGTTTTCTGAATAAAGATGTTTTACAATAAGATTTTCAACACTTTGGTATAAATTGTTCATACATATAGAAATTGGACTTATCTTTGACATAGGCTGGCTGTTGGTTAATCTGATTTTTGTTCCAATTGGAAAGGTGAGAAAACTGAATAATATATCCACAAAGTCCCTGTTGGATTCAGCAGCAATAACTTGATTTTTCTTGTCATCTACCAAAAGCTTCAGTGAAACTCTGGATTCTTGATCATTAGCAGCCATTTTTAAGGGAATTACTAACAAATAAAAGCCTTTTCTCTTGAAGTAAACAGTGAGTGATCAAATGTTTTAAGTTTTAACTTATAAATGTATGTAACACCTCCTTTTTCCGTCCCCGCAAGGGGTGAAGGAGTTTTTCCAATTAAAGAACAATCGAAACGAGATTTGTTTATTTATTTCAGAGTCGCCACTNCGGATTCCATCACATGACATGCACCCGCAATCCGGAACACATATTTATTCAGTGTTTTGGGATTTGGATTTGGGTCGCATGAAATGCACACCCGATTTTAAGAAGGTAAGATTATTAAAATGCGCGCCTAAAGCGATTAGCGTATTATTATTTTGGGTATGGCCGTGGAGTTCGCTAAGCGGCCGATCCCGAGTTTTAAGTAATTAACACATACATTTTTTGAGGGCCCCGCAATCTGTGCGTTTTATTTGGCGAGGCTCGTCTCATTTTTATTTAAAAGGATAAACCTACAGTGACTACATTTTTTCTATTAAGTTTGTTTCTAAACTAAGGGGAGGAATCCTAGTTAATAATACTTCCTAACTCATGTTGCAATTAACCTTAACTAATTATCCACAATCATTCAAATATCCAATTATCAACAAATGCAAGTCCAGAATCAATTTCCAAACTTATTTCCTTTAACAGAGTTAATCAACAAAACTATTCTAGGCTAATTAGTGTTAAGCAAATCCAACAGTCAAATTATACCTCCAGTTTTGAACTAACTCACAATTGCCATTACTAAGTACAAAACAGTATGGCTCCGGGATTGCACTGCCGATTATTAGGACGAGTGAGGACTGTGAATCACAAGATCGCTTTATGTTTTAAATATTTTCTGATTTTTAAAGCGTAACTACACTAAATGAAATTAAATTACCACATGTCTTAACAAACTATAAAATGTCCCGAACAGTCCATGAGTTTGACAGTCCGAACCAATCTAAATCGTTCTAAAACAATTTTAATCACATTTCAAACTACTACAATCCATTATGACAAAATACGGCAAGAACTAAAGCTTTCGTTGAAGTTATATTTCCATTTTTCATTTCATTTTCAAATGGACAACTACATGGTTTGAGATTCAGGACATGTACCTGGAAATGACAATACAAGAAGAAAAGAAGGAGGAGTCAGCAACAGTAATAACACAGCAACGTAACAACAACCCAACAGCAGCAATTCAAACAAGATTCGAGGCCCGGGAAAATTTGAAGAAAAACCAAACAAGCGCAATAGAACAAACCCAAAAGTTTGTAAAAGACTAAGCAGCAACAACCCACATCACCACAAACAGACTCAACCACGCGTGTATTAAACCCGAAACTAAACTCCTCTCTCACTTTGTTTTTGTTTTCTCTTTTTAAACTCTCCAACACTCTCTTCGGATTTTCAGAATGTCTTTCTCTTTCCAAAAATAATCATCTCTCAAAAACTATCCCCTTTTTGTGTCAAAATGACTCTTATTTACAGCAAGACTCTTGTCTTGAACCACTAACCCGAAATATTCTTTCCCCCCACACTTGCATGCTTTGTTCCCCACTATATTAAATAACTACATTATTCCCCACTAACTTATGTCTTGTCCTCCACTATATTAAACAATTACATTATTCCCCACTAACTTATGTCTTGTCCCCCACTATATTAAACAATTATATCAACTCCCCACTAACTTATGTCTTGTCCCCCACCATGTACTATTTTAATATTGTTAATGCCTAGTGGACAGAGCACTCAAATTAATTATTTTTTAAGACTTTAAATCCCAAAAATACCCCTGAAACTACTGAAATTACCATTCTACCCTTATCAGCTATATCCAATCCTCCTAATTAATTACCCAAATTACTACAGCTATAACCAAATTCCTAATCAAATTCAACTAATAAATCCCATGAACACAGATTGAATCATACAACATCAGATTAATGGGAATAAGTTAACCATATTGGGAACCAATCCTGGTTAACTTAGACAAAAAATTAATGAGCAAGGAGACAATAATATTAACAACAAAAGTAAACTGAAACAACATGAATCACACTTAATTGAATCGAAATGCAAACTGAAATCATATGATGAACAACAAAGAGCAGGAAACCAAACAATACATAAAACGAAATTATCCGAATCAACTCAATATTAGCAAAGATACTATACAATCTACAACTAATAATCACGAATGACAAACCAATCGAACTCAAATTCGACTAAACAGAATTCAAAAAATTTTTACAACCAAGATTCAACTAAGAACGATTCAAACTCCTTAACCCATAATATTTAAACAGATTTTAGCGGCTCTTATCTTACTCACATATAGATCATAAAAATGAGAAAGGGAGATGAGACGGACCTTAAAAACCTTTAACAATCCGAACCTCGACGAACAAACGCCGAACGGGAACCTCAAGAGTGGTTTCAAGGCTACACTGTTGTGAATGGGAAGCGGCAGAAGAAGCGACGATGATGGTAAAGCTCAGAGACGACGTGCTGGTTGCTGCTGGGCAGGGTTATGGGTGACGGGGACGAGAGCTGGGAAGGTTTGTTGGCGGAGCTGCTGGTCGTTTGGAGACGACGAAACGCACGCGTCGAAACTGCGCGCAGCAGCAGCTCACGTCGATGAACTTGTGGTCGTCCATGGCGGGGCTGTGCGATGTGGTTGTGGTGTTGATCCAGTGGTCGTGAGGACTGTGCGTTCGAGCTGGACGTCGACATACTGTCGTGGTGGAGCTGGGTGTTGAAGGACTGTGGTCGTTTGGTTTCGACGATAATGGGGTTAGCTGGTCTGTTGAAGACAAAGCAAAAGAAGCAGTAGGTGAAGCTGGGGTGCTGGTCGTCGCCACTGGTCGACGAGGAAGGCAGCTATGGGAGCTCGAGCTCGACGACGAAGAAGAAAGCAGCCTTCTTGGCTTTTGTTTGGAGCTGATGTGCTATTGGTGGTTGCCGGCGGAGAAGGTGATGAAGAAGATGAAGCAGCAGCAGTGGTCGACGGGCAGCCATGGGAGGGGAGCTTGGGGTGGTTTGGATGTGAATGAGAAGGAAAGAGGGGGGGCGGATAGGTTTTTTAGGGTTTAGGGGGATAAAAAATGAAAAATGAAGAAAAGGGGTTGGGCGGGTGGTTTGGTTATGGGGTGGACTGGGTCGACCCGGGTCAAAATGGACCGGGTCGTAGGGGAAGGTTGGGTATCTTTGGGCCTGTGGTTTTAAAATTGAAGAAGAGGCCCAATCCGATTTTCGTTTATTTTTTGTTCTCTTTTCTTATTAATAAAACTAAAATTAAATTATAAAAACCAAAATTATCTTAAAATACTAATTAAACTTCTAATAATAATTATCACCCAAAATTAAACATCAATAAAATAAAATCACAAAATTTGGACATTAAATGCTAAAAATGCAAAAGATACCTATTTTTGTAATTTTCATTCTTGTAAAACAAACTTAATTACTAATAATTGTAAACTTAAATCCTAAACGCAAACGCGACGTATTTTTGTATTTTTTATTAATTTATAAAATAAACATACGCAGACAAATGTAAACAATACAAAAAAATAACACAAAACTCACAACAATTGCAAACAAACAAAAAATTGTTTTATTTTTGGAATTTTGGGAGTAATTCTTATATAGGGCAAAAATCACGTGCTTACAGCTGCTCATCTTTGTCCGAAAACACGAAGAGTTTTCGTGCAAAGATAAAGTGAGCGATTTTTGCCCATCTGAGTACTCCGTGTGAAGCATTTTTTTTTAAAAAGATTTAACCGAACCTTTGCTTTAAAGGTTTCCTACATATCCCTGGCTAGAAGGGAATCAGGTTAATGGAGTTTGGGAAGTTTTGGTAGCTGGGACTACCATGGGACTGCAATTTTGTTGTTACTGCTGTTGTGTGTTGTTACCACTGCCTTACCGATCTCCTTGTTACACCGTGTCAAAAGAAAACAAGAAGTTATGCTAGACTATGAATCATAAGATCTTATCTATCTTCAACTTGTTTTTGCTTCTTTGCTTTTTTGTCGGCTTGTGTATCTTCCGCCGCTTTTCCTTTTCGTAAACTTGGGGATGGCGCTGGCCTTTTGCTTCTTTGAATACCAATTCTCACTGTCTGGTTCGGTCCGCTGGGGATATGGCTTCCTTCATTAAGCTTTTCGATGGTTCCTCTGGGGATACGGCTTTCTTCATCAGATTTGTTATGCTGGGCATAATTTAATGTTCACAGGCCGCTTCTTTCAAGATGCATCTTTTCTTCCTTTTGACTCATGCACTTGAATTTGCCCTGGGACCTCTTGTTGCAACCTTCTGCTTTCCGGTGGGTTACGGATTTCAAGACCTGAAATGTAAAGACTGAAAAATATTCCCTCGTTATACAGATGGGCGCCTAATTGGTAAAGACATGAAATGTATTCCTCTTGTTATATAGGTGGGCGCCTATTTATCTAATAACATGAAAAGTATTCCTCTTGTTATACAGGTGGGCACCTAATTGGTAAAAACATGAAAGTATTCCTCTTGTTATACAGGTGGGCGCATGTTGGTAAAGACATGAAATGTATTCCCTTGTTATACAGGTGGGCGCCTAATTGGTAAAGACATGAAATGTATTCCCTTGTTATACAGGTGGGCGCCTAATTGGTAAAGACATGAAAATTATTCCCTTGTTATACAGGTGGGCGCCTAATTGGTAAAGACATGAAATGTATTACCTTGTTATACAGGTGGGCACCTAATGGTAAAGACATGAAATGTATTCCCTTGTTATACAGGTGGCGCCTATTTATCTAAAACATGAAAAATATTCCTCTTGTTATACAGGTGGGCGCCTATTTATCTAAAACATGAAAAATATTCTTCTTGTTATACAGGTGGGCGCCTGTTTATCTAAAAACATGAAAAGCATTCCTCTTGTTATACAGGTGGGCGCCTGACCTCAACAACAACTTTAAAAAATGCATTTGGCAATGCTTTATGAAAACATATA